TATATAAAAAAATATTATGTTCGACCTAGTTTTGAGAATGTAACCTTTAATTACTAAAAATCTTTCTGCGCATGTTCTCTGACAATATCTAGCGTGAAAGCGAGCGAGCGGGAAAGAATGGGTTAAATCCAATCTTACGAAAAGCCCTTATATGGACATGGTTTGGGCGCATTTTATGTTACTTCCTGAGTGAAAGCGCTACTTCATTTAGAAAAATAAGGAATCGTCAATATTAGTACAAGGATAAGAACACATTTTTGCGTAAGAACCCTTTTCTGCACACATAAATACACACATTGTACAAAACTATTAGCGAAAGACGCACAGTGTCTGGCTACATATCAACACCTAGAAATTTTGAATAATTAAAACACGTTATTTTTAAGTGTGTGTGTATATATTTCAAAATACAGTCACCATAACTTTTATAAAGAATATCTCTTTGGATTTGAGACTTTAGTCTTTGCAACTTTACAGATCTTCTTTATGCACCAAGAGCTTGTAACACTCTAAAGAGAAAGGAAAAAATGAAATCGCATCATATGACCCCTTTAATATATGTACTGCACTTCAGGCTACTCATGGCCCTTTTGGTTAGGGTAGGCCTACATTGAATGTGTCTTGTCTTATCAGTCTCAAATCTGTCATAACAAATATTTATTAATATACCAGAAACAAAAAAATCAGGGCATGCCCACTATATCTTTCTGAAAACCTCCAGCGTGTATCTTCCCGTGGTGAGAGACACACACACAGATCTGGTTATGTCAAAACTTTCCAGAGACTAAAGGTCGCTTTTGTGTGTCTGTCCCTTATGAACAGAAGGGCTGGAGTCTTAAATGTCTCATGCTGGCTCCTCCATAGCTATTCTTAGCTGTGCTCTGTTACAGGCCCTATTACAGAAAAGATCCATCAGCAGAAATGCCACATCAGACACCTGCAGATAAACAAAACATAACGCAGTGGGAAATAAAGTGTCACATCTTACTCTTACAAGTTACAAACAATCCTTAGGTTTATGCTCTCAAATACGACGTAACTGACAGTAACTGCTAGATATAAAATTCTCGGTCTGGTTGAAAAGTGTCAAGCATATGATAAGTTTCATATTCTGAAAGACAATCCCACGTTTCATACTGCGCGCAGATGGCAAACATGTTTTTGTCAATGTTCTGTAAAATTATTATTCTTAGATCAAATAAATAATCTGAAACATAACCCAAAAAAAGTTTTCTTGGATTGCTCATAAGCTATCAGCAACACAAGGCATCTCAATACTGCTTTTCTTTTATGAACAATCATAGTTCACGCTGAAAAAAAATTTGTAATTCAGCCCCACTGGCCATCTTCCCAGAATGCACTGGGACATTAATAATTAATATGGTTGCATTGTTTGCCAGTTTTATTTACACTGTTGTTTTTTTTGTCAGTGTTCACTGATTTTCTTGTAATGTCAGGATGTTTCTTCCTTTACTTAAAGTGATTGGTGAGTTGATTGTGACACTTGTTGTATTTCATATTCCAAGTCAGGAATAGTTCACCCAAAAATGAAAAGCCATCCAAGATGTAGATAAGTTTGTTTCTTCATTGGGACAGATTTGGAGAAGTTTAGAATTACATCACTTGCTCACCAATGGATCCTCTGCAGTGAATGGGTGCCGTCAGAATGAGAGGCCAAACAGCTGATAAAAACATCACAATAAATCCACAAGTAATCCACACGACTCCAGTCCATCAATTAAGGTCTTGTGAAGTGAAAAGCTGTGTGGTTGTAATAAACAAATTCATCAAGACGTTTTTAACTTAAAATTGTTGCTTCCAGCTATAATATGAATCAATAATAGTGCAGTGAAAAGTGGTCTTGCTGGAGCAGGTGAGAAATATGCACAGATCAAACACTGTTTACAAGCAAAAACAGTCCAAACAGCTCTAAACAAATATGCTGGTGGATTTTGACGTGAGAGAAACAGGAATTTTTCACTGGAGGAAGAGTCATTATGGATTATGGAGTCTTATTTTAGCCTGAAGCATTGGTTTAATGGTTTTACAAAACACACAACTTTTCACTTTCTCAAGGTGTAACTGACTCGTTGAAGTCCTGTGGATTACTTCTGGGTTACAGTGTTTTTATCAGCTGTTTGGACTCTCATTCTGACGGCATCCATTCACTGCAGAGCATCCACTGGTGAGCATGTGATGTAACACTAAATTTCTCCAAATAATAGGAAGTTTAGTTCTTTTTTTGATTCAGGGTGTTCATGTGATCATGTCAGAAGGTTAAATCAAGCACTTTTTGCAATATGTATGTCGAAAACGTGAGATGAAGCACATTGCTATAATGCTTTCTTGCATGTGTGTAAAAATAGCATGTGTAAACCGACTGTTAGAAAAGTTCTATGATGTTCACGCTTTGTCGACTAAACTGTGAGCATTGCAGCTCTTATGGCTGATTTTGAATAGAGGCCATCTCAGCTGTCATTTATGGAGACATCTCTGTGCGCTTGCTGCTCCTTTCTCAAGTCATCTTAATGCAATGCGTAGCCCATGGTAGAGAGAGACGTAAGATCTGAACACACAGGGGGCAAATTCTCATAAATGTCAATTTCACAGTTTATGCTCTAGTAATGTTTCAGCCTCTGGAGCATAGCAATGTCTTTCATGTGTTTTAACCAGCTGATGTCACCAGTCTTGTTTAATTCAGTGCGCTAGCAGAGTGTTGCATTAGTACACGTTGAGCTTTCACTGAGAAATCAGTGAGGCGAACTCTGATTATGACCTATGGCCACCTAAACATACGTAACACTGGCTGGCATCATGCCAGTGAACAGCAAGGGTTAATCATGGGGCTTGTGAAGTCATGTGCTTGTTCAGAAAAAAATACATGACTTATGACAGTTCAACATAGTCATTCTGCTTAACTGTCATAAAGTATATACAGTGCCATGAAAATGTTTTTGCCCTCTTCCTGTTTTTGTTTTTTTTTGCATATTTCTCACACTTAAAAGATTCAGATCATCAAACAAATTTTAATATTACACAAAGATAACCCGAGTAAATACAAAATGCAGTTTTGAAATAATGATTTCATTTATTAAGGGAAAAAAGACGTCCGAACCTGCCTGGCACTACGTGAAAAAGTAATTGCCCCCTAAATCTAATAACTGGTTGTGCCACCCTTTGCAGCAACAACTGCAATCAAGCGTTTGTGGTAACTGGCAATCAGTCTTTCACATCGCTGTGGATGAAATTTGGCCCACTCTTCTTTGCAGAATTGTTTTCATTCAGCCACATTGGAGGGTTTTCGAGCATGAATGGACTGGGTAAGGTCATGCCACAGCATCTCAATCGGATTTAAGTCCGGATTGTCCTACTGCATAACCCAAGTGTGCTTGAGCTTGAGGTCACAAACTGATGGCTGGATATTCTCATTCAGGATTTTCTGATAGAGTGCAGAATTCATGGTTCCATCAATTATGGCAAGTCGTCCAGGTTCTGAAGCTGCAAAGCAGCCCTAGACCATCACACTACCACCACCATGTTTGACTGTTGGTATGATGTTCTTTGTCTACGATGCTGTTTACACCATAGATATATATATACATATCTATGGTCTATACTGGATGTGGCGCAGCACGACACGACAAATCCCCGACAGAAAACTGCTGCTGCGTTCTATTTATGACGTATTGACACACATTTCAAATGATTTTCAATGGTCGCTTTGTCGCGTCCAATGTACTAGACAGACTTTAGCGGTTGCGGCGCAGACACGGTGTTACTCACCTATCGAGCAGAAACAAAGCAACCTCGGCGTCCGATCGCAGGCCTTCCGCTCCTTGAGTTCTCTCCAGTGCTGGAAAGCTGATCCGATATTTACACGGATCCTACTTCTTGCCTTAAGCCTTCTTTTGTTCTGCAGACGTTTTCCTCTTTTGTTTTTTATCCACCATCTCTATCTTTCTGTCGCTTCGGTTCGCTAATGTCCGTCCTGTGCACTGAACGCTCTCTCCTCCACATCATGAGTAGACACGCCCCTTACTGTTGATTGGTTACAAGTTTGTTTTGCTACTCAGCCCGAATCAGTTTTCTAAAGGGTTTTTGGAAAATCGCTTACCCCACCTTTAATTGAGGCAATATATATATATATATATATATATTTGGATTATATCTACAGTTATATATTTGGATTATATTTACAGTTATATATTTGGATAATTAGCAGGTTACATTGTGACAACTTACCCCACTATAGGTTAAAATGTGTTAAATAAAATGGTATAGCCAATTTTTACTTGCCAATAACATTGGAAACAGCGTATTTGAAGCCAAGACTTTAAGGTTTGTGTCAGACACTGACTTTCAAACATAAAACAAACATACAAAAAATATTCAGTATAAAATGTGTGACAACTAGCGTATTGCGTCTCACGTATTGCAAATAGACTCAAAATCTTAAGATATAGACCTTGTGACAATTTCCCCCTGTGACAAATAGGCCTGATCTCCCCCACACATATTTACAATTATGTTTAAAGTATTGATAATTATACCTATATCTGGGTAATAAGCAGGTTCCTTTGTGACAACAATATAATGTTAAATGAACTCTAACTCTATTCTATTCAAAAATAAACCAAACAAACAAACAAAATTATTCAGTATAAAAGATTTCATAGTGTATTGTTACATTGTATTATGAAAAAGCAATCAAAGAATCATTTCAGCGGATTGGCGTCATCGGATGTTTCCTAAATTGTATTTTCAAGAATGTTTTAATGATGTTCATTTTTGGGATAATTAATTTAGGACACAGCTTGGGCATACAATCCGTATAGGGTGCGTCACAGACATAAATTTCACGAGGAGAACAGCATGAAAGTGTTTGATCAGATTTTATTTCCCCCACGACAGTAGTAAACCTCCCCCTCTTCCCTACTCTCTCCTCTCCTCGTCTGTGCAGCTTGTCTTAGAGACTCACGGAGCATTGAGGCGACCTGAGCGCGGCGCGCGGGTAGAACAGGACGAGCTTCGCTTAATTAACGCAGCGCGAGCCCTGCAGGAATGCCAGCGAGGCGCTGCTTGGAGAAGGTAGGCGATGACTTTATTTTCTGTGAGTTTAATGTGACAAAAAAGATGGTAAAATAGATGAGACATAACACAGGTAACATCTTTTCCCGAGTGCTTTCATGCTGACTACTTTTTTTTTGAGATTGTTAAGCAGGAAACGCTTCACTATTCTGTTCGGTGCTGATGTTTACGCGTCGTTTAGCTCTTGAGATGAAATATTACAAGTAGGTTGATTGGTTAAAACGCACTTTTAGGAACATTTCGGTCGTGAAAACGATGTATGACACTAAATACTAAAAACATAAAAAGTAAGTATTCACCCTTTAACTGAAAATATTTTTCCTACTTAAATATTGTGAATTTTTTTTATATAATATTATCACACATTATTTGCCTGCTTCACATTAAAGTAGTTTAGAAATGTATAACTTATTTGTAAACAATGTAAATGTCAAGTATAATCATTGCTGTCGTTACCAGGGTGAATTGTAATTATATGGACTGTATATGGACATTTTAAATATCGTGCATAAATGTATTATAGAAACGCATAAAACATAACAGACAGTGTGTGTTAGTTACTACAATTGACAGTTGTGCTAAATATAACCTATACATTGTGTCATCTTTGTCCATCCAATATAAGTACACTGAAACGTGTTGCAACCCTTTCCCATGGTCAGACATTACATATCTCTCTCTCTCTCTCTCTCTCTATATATATATATATATATGCATATATACAATTGATAGAGATATCAATATAGAACTGTATATATATTTCTGATAAAGATTTCGAAGAAAATCTTTTATTCAACTAGTCTACAACAATAAAGAAATTGTAAAAAAATTTAAAAATTACAAATAAAATTTTAATTGAAAAAAGGCTCCTGTATGATATATTGCTTCAGTTTTTCTCTCTCTCTCTCTCTCTCTCTCTCTCTCTCTCTCTCTCTCTCTCTCTCGCCCTCTCTCTGCTATGGATGTTATATATTAAAGTAAACAATAGAACCCGGTAGTTCTGTTGATACCAGTTTTGCCATTAACATTTTGACAAATTACACTGACATAAATTCCTTTCCCTCAAAATATTTGTGTTGTATTTAATATTTTCTGTTGTATTTAAAATGAAATGGTTTTATTGCCTGTTATATATTATTGTCTTCCTCGTCATACTGCAGGGATGCTATAGCCAGCATGCTATGAGATGAACATATGAATAGAAGTTCAAATGGCTGATCTTAAAGTCCTCTTTTGTGGTCAAGACGCTGTCCAGACCGATCACCTTGACTGGTCCCTAAAACACCAGCAAAGTCATCACTCAGTGTGTGCAGATGAAAGGGCCCTTTCCAATGAAGAGTGCTGCCAGGCGTATCTGGAGGAGAATGTTAATGAGGCGAACAGGCTTTCAGAACCATGGACAGTGACTCCAATTGGACGACTCTGCAAACTAAATGATTGGGGATTTGATGAAGAAGTTGAGGTATGTTACGATGAGCAGTTTGAAACAGCTTTTCCTGGTGTGGCTGACTTTACTGACCATAAAGACAGTCAGTTGTTAGCAGAGGAGACCAACTATGACAACTTCAGTTGGAATTCTTCCAAAGATCTCCAAGAAGGAGGCCCAGAATGCTCCCTGCTGTCAGTTGACGATTTCATGGTGGATTCATCGGAAAAGTCAGTGGATTATGGATTTATAGGTGCTGTTACCTTTTTAGTTACTGGGATTTCCTTGGTTGTCATCTCCTACACGGTCCCACGTGATGTCAAGGTGAATCCCGATACCGTTTCTGCCCGGGAGATGGAGCGGTTGGAGAGAGAGAACGCCCGGGTGGGTGCTCACCTGGACAGGTGTGTGATTGCAGGGCTGTGTCTCCTCACACTCGGTGGTGTGGTACTGTCAACCCTGTTGATGATCTCCATGTATAAAGGGGAGATGATCAGGAGACAAGCATTTGCTTACTCCAAGCACCAAGCCAGACTCTACGGCTCTGTGAAACTTAGAAGTGGCGCGAGCCCGACCGGAGCTCCTTCGCTTTTGTCCCTTGATGAAGATGAAGGTCCTGTTGAAGTCTTAAGTTGAAGCTGAGATCAGCATCTTGACTTGTTATCTCCATATGAAAACATGATCAAAACAGCTTTGTTATACTGTGATCTAGGATGACACACTGTAAAACACAGTTTGTAATACTTAAAAAACAATATTGTTAATTTAATAGCATCTAAATTTACCTTTAAACTACTAAATTACAACTAAATTTGAGTCGAATAAACTTGACTACAATGGGTCATAACAACAAAATTAATTTTGAGGATCCAATCAGGATAAAATTCTACACTTTTTGCATTGCATTTAATGGACAAAATGTAACATACCAACATGGACTTGAGTCCTGTTTATGTAAAACATATATTTGTGTGAGTTTGTGCATTTTTCCAAAACATATGTTCATGTAAATATACAGCATGCTTTACAAGTGCAGTTATATAAGCCTCAGTTTTTTTGAGTATGTAAAAAAACTATCATAGGATCATTCGACTAACTTGCCAAATGTACAATTGTGTCCTATTTAGCCAGTCTTCACATTGGAAAAGAAAAAGGCTTTTTCCTTCTTCTTTTTTTTTTTTTGGCTTGGCTTGGCAGTCTATGTCTGATAGCTGACTTAATCATCAGTCATTGTATGAAAACCTCTTTCTAATCAGGTGGGACAGAGATTTATTCCAATGCCTCTGAAGCCTTTTAAATCTATATATTTGCATTCACATTTGCATAAAAATACACACGATAAACAGCTTTGCAACAGCACAGGTAACGTGAATGCGCACCAGGGAGGTCTGAACTAAATTTTGTGAGCTTAGTTTATTTAGAGAATATCTGTGCTTTTAATGCACATGGGATGTAGGAAATGTGTGAGCAGATGTCTCTCTCTCTTTCTCTCTCATCATTGTGCCCGCGTACTAGAGGAGTCTCATGGGAAATGACTGCTCCATGTTTCTCCTTCCCAATAGCAACTAACCCCATTAGAGTCACACATCATAACACGTAATGACCCGAAAGAACAGAATCCAGAATGCAGACCGCAGCAAAAGGCACATAAAAGCATGGTGTAGGTTCTCATCCCCCAAAGCACAAGCTGTCAGAAACAAGTAAAGAGAATTAACCTGAAACAGGCTAATATTTAAGTCGGACGACAAACCAATTCCACAAGGTTAAAATCACATTGTTAAAGAAATAGTTCACCCAAAAATAAAAACCGAAGATTATTTACTTATTCCAAAAGTTACATGACTTTATTCCGTCTGCAAAAGAATATTTTGAAAAACTGTTTTTGTGAATACAATAGAAGTCAATTGGGTCCAAATGAAAAACACTGAATGGATAGAAAATTAGAAGTTTTTGATTAAAATATATTAATTACTTCTTTTGTGTTCTGCAGAGTACGCTTAAAAGTAAAGGTGCTTCATTGGCATTAATAGAACCTTTTTTTATTCTTTATAGTGGAAAAATGGTTCTTTTAAGAACTGAAAGGTTCTTTGGTTTGGAACAACAAAGATGACTAAATGATCACAGTATTTTAACAACAAAGCAAAATCTAGGCATATAAGCCTCAGGTTGCAGGTCAAGGAAAAAAATGTGCCCATGAGGCTTTGAGCAAGCAGTAGGCTCTGCTGGTGCTTCTGCTGAGGAGTGCGGTCCGTAAACGCTTACCGAGGGCCGGATCAGATTATCCCTCACTATACACCAGCACTGCAGCAAAGATTCCTGACACCAGTGTTCTTTTCATTCCATTTCTTCATGACAGCACACACACGAGTGTTTTAACAGCCCCCGAGTGTCTGTTTGCATGAGAACACTTACTTAAGGGTATCGTTAGACGATTCAACAAATGCTTGTAGAAAATTGCAGCTATTAAATCTGCATGCTTCTAACATCACCTGTGGTTTTAATAAAGCTTAATGGTTCACCGTAAAACAAACTCAGAATTATGCTTTTGATATGGGTGAAGACTGATAGAGGGGGGTTTTGGAGAGGAAGATGCATATGTTTTTATATGTCATGAATTTTTAGGTTGCACACAGCGGTGTGGATGGCAATTAATGAAATGTCAACAATGCATGACCACGTCTACTGAAATAAGAACTGATTTATATGCCATTTCTCATTCTCTGGCTGTCTCCATCTCTCTTTGTTTCTTTTTTTCCTCTGTCTAATACTCTCTAACAGCACTCTGTATAATAACTCAATCACTTAGGGCCGCTGGCATCAGGAAATGGGGCTAAATTGATTAAAGGGTCAGTATGGGTCAGGGAGTGGGTGTGGACATCGTCGCGAGGGACAAAGATATGGTCATTGTGTGCACATACACACAATACAACTCCTAGCTGTGCCATATCATAAATTGCCTGTGGCGCAGTGACATCCTAACATATCATATCGCTCTATTCTTCAGATAAAGAGTGAAAAGATGGCATTAAAATCAAATCCAGTCCAGACTGTGTGAGATACAGATGGAATTGCCAGTTATATGTCACGTGAGTGACCCGTCCGTCAGCTCATCCATTCTGCTGTTTTCTTTACTGCTTGGTCTAATTATTCATCATTTGGACATTCCTCACTGTTCGTGCTGTTTTCTGGCCTGTTCAACAAAATTACTCTTGTTACCTAGAGTTTGTTGCATAGCAACAGTAAAGATAAAATGTACAAAAAGTCAGCGCCCATGAAGCGAAGGATCTCCGGTGAAAAGGCAGTAGTTCATCATTCATCGCTTTAATTCGGAAGCTCATTGTGTATCAGGGAGACCAAAGAATGTAGTCAGCAGCCTTAGTCACAAGGCTACAGGAAACAGAAAGTTGGTTGCATAGTAATGTAGCAGGCGTGCTTATTTCAATGAGATCTGAATTTATGACACAGCAACGTCAGCGGCAGTTTCTCAAATTAGGTGGCGGAAATAAAGGCACCTTGGGGAAAAAACACAGTGCTCTATAGATAATTTCTGGGACCCTCACTGTGCCTTGTTGATGATGTATTACTGTGACCTACTGCGGTAGAGAGTTTTGCAGAAGTTCAGCATTATAATAATAAAGATTTTTATGGTTTTGAGTGGCTTTTAGCACACTGCCATGCAGGAATTGCTTCCCAATTCATAAAAATCCACCCTCAAGATTTGTATGATTTTTAAAATTTTTATTTAAATTGATTTATTTTCCTGCAGGTGAAAACTACCAGTTTATTCACTTGGAAAAACAGAAGCGCTTGATTCTACACATTACTTAGGGACAGAAGTTTTGATTAATTATGAGCAATAATGAGTAAATTATATTTAATAATACTAATTACGACCAATAACATGTCTAAGCCAGTTAGAATAATAATATCCCATTTGTGCAATTGTGAGGTGCTTTAATTGTAACGATTCTCCACTATTGATGCCAGAACTCCGTAACAGTGGGTCACGAGTCAATAAAAATTGAGCTTTTCTTTTCAGTTCTGCCAATACTATTTTCATACTTAGATGGTGAAGATGTTAGGGGCGCTGAGCAACAACCTTTCCAGAATCATTTCTTTAACCGTATTCTTCGGGTAATGAGTCCCATGAGAGATGTGGCACTTTTCACATGCCAGCACAGAAAAAGTGGAGTTGGGGGTGTCAGGTGATGCTTAAACAAAAGAAACGTACCTTACAAAAGACATCAACGATGCAAAAAGCGAAGCCACATCACTTTCTTTCTGTGAAAAGAAAAAGTATGTCAGAGCAAGTACTTTTCAACTATTCAAATTCAAGTTGAACTTCCTGCGAAAATCCTGCGAGCATTTTTGTGTCTGTTTCACCAACAGTGAACGGCTCACCTTGTTGACTTCCTGTGCCTGTCGTTACACAGTATACATATGGATCTGCAATGATTGGTCGGTGAGTTAATGAGAGCCAGCTGGAATCATGTTTGCATCGCCCACACAGCAGTGTCCCTTTCTCTCTCTCCTCTCCTGTTAAGGGCACATATCCATAGAAACCAAGTTTCCCTTGTTGTTAAGGAAAGAACCCTGCTGAGGTTTGAATATGTGTAACATCAATTATGAAGTCAATACTGCCGAGGTTTGCTGCTGAGTTAACGTAGTCTAACTTTGTGTTTCTAATTTAAAGCCTCAAAGAAAACAAGTTCTGGTTGTTGTTTTCCATCCATTACGAAACAGTGCTAGTGGCGTAAATGATGTTTTCCCCCCTGAAACTGCTTCTACGGTTTACCAGAGACTGAATGAAAGTGAGGAATTGCTTTGGAGAACTCATTAATGTGCATATGGACTCTAGACAGTGATGGATGGCGCACAATATTGGAGACAGTGAGGTCTTTTTGGCTTTTTATGAACAGGCCAGGTGAACTGTTAGACAATATGTGCAAATCATTCTCTTTTATGCGGTGAATGAAAAGCGCTGACTCATGACATTATCATGTTGGGAGTTTCAAAAGCGGAGCATGTGGGTGGATGTTTGCATCAGAAGGGGAACTTCATAACCTGCACCCCATAATTCTGCGAGATGCATAATTTAACACTGAGAGCAAAGTGAGATTAATCTCGCTGTGGGAAAGCTTTACTTACTTTCTTTTGATTTATGCTGCTATTATGCTTCATGCTAGGTTCATCTCAGGCTTTGTCAATAAGGCCGGAGGCAAGAAGATGATAAGTTTCCATTCTGTATTGATCTAGTTTTTTAAGTGCTCAGAGCACAGGTACTGAAAGTCTTAAACACCAGAGTGTTTATGACCTGTCTTTCCTGACACATTGCTGGGTTTCACAATACTATAAAAGATATTTAGGTATGATAAGAAATAAATGTTAGTAGAAAGACAAATAAGTCAAATGAAGGCTATAATTAATTTCATGTTTCTTTTGAATAACATTGTCTATTATTACACACTGTCATAACAAAAACAACTCAGCAAGTCCCCTGAACCTAAAGTATGTGTCACAGTAGCTGTTTTCAGTTCACAATGTTCCAAATCCGTTGGAAGTTGTGCAAGCTCATGGAGTAGCTACGTCAGAAAAAGAACGGGACATCCATTTATCATTTATTGTCGGCAGCTTGAAGCATAGTGCTGTGCCACATCCAATGTAGATTAAGACTGGTTCTATTGGCTTTTGACGTGACTCTACACAATTC